AAATGGAAAAGCGTCACGACTTCTCGGGAACCCGCCATATCTGACATTACACTAATTCATAAGGGATATTTAAATGTAAATTTCTCTAAAGGACAATTTTCAAACGTAATTCTTCTTGTCCTGTCTAATTTACTCGTTTTTTTGTATGGACAGCTGTCCCGTACGTCTAAAAGTGGATTTCACACGATTGCAACCATCTTTGACTTTTTCGGAATTTTCTGCTTTTCTAAAAATCAAAATTCCTAAGCAATCTACCATTATCTTTGATTAATATAGACCTAGGATCCATGCATTGGTGTCGCTTTGCGAGTAGTTAGCGGTCACACACAAACACACACACACAACAGTTCCACCGTCGATTTCGACGATGTCCACCGCGTGCCCCACAGCTGCAGCAGCGGTGGGAGCAGGGACGGTGACTTGCGCAGGGGTTTATAGTGCCAGTAGACTTCCGTAGCATCTACCTACACTCTCTCCTCCTCCCCCACCTGAGCCCGGTGTCAAGACGAAGTGAAGAAGACCGGAGACGAGGGAGGCCGCAGGTGGATGGCTTGGACGGATCCTCACCTTGGCGCTTCACTCCGCACCCCCAGGTCCACAAAACAAATGACCAGGCTTTTGACCACAAAACAATGGGGTGACGGCAGTGGTCCAGTTGTGCGACGACTGCCGACAACAGGGTCTGCCAAAGCACCCCGAAAGTGTTGGCATTTGTTATAGTGTGCGATCCGATAACGCCTGGCAGAATCCAATATGGCTCCCGTGTTGGTCCAGTGCATCTAACGCGTATCTCGTTTGGAGGACACACAAACACATGTGTAGAGTAGTCGTACCGTCTGTGATGAGCAATCACCACCTCTCAAATGTACTTCTGTCCGCCTTCCCCCCTCCCCCCTTTAGGTTTACCGCGATAGCCTTCGATCCGCCGGGCTGCGGTTTCAGCACTCCCCCCGTCCGCGATTGGAGTGATCCCGAGGTTCTGCTGCAGGATGCCAGAGTTGGCGTGAATTTGATGCGCCAGCTGGGTCATCTGCCCTTCTCCTGCATCGGCTGGTCAGAGGGCGCCCTGTCAGCCATCCGAGCAGCATCGGAGTTGAATATGGACGGTCAGTCACATTTTAAGTGGCTCACTCTGCTGCTGCTGCTGGTGGCGCATTTGCTTATTTGTTGTTCTAGAATGCGCATATTGTGGACACTGTCAAATGGCCAGTTGCCTGGCCTCACGATTTGATTACCTGTACTCCTTGGACACACACACACGCACACAGCGCGGTGAATGCAACCAAACTAGTTCAAATTTACCTCAGACTACTGTGAAAACCTGAAAGGACACATCAAGAAACAGCCCTTTCAGCCTGACCTTCCGTTCTGGGAAGTACCGAGGTGCCCCGTCAAGCTACCATTCCTAGTTCGTCACGGCACATTTAAGTGTGCCAGTTTTATTTTAGGAAGGAATGCTCCAGTTTCAACGCCAGTTCCTCTGTTTTACCTACTCGGCCAGTATTCCAAATACCTCCACAAATTACCACAGTTTAAGGGATTTCTCCTGTCTACCGATTTTTCACTTCAATGGGTCACTGAATGCCCTCCTAGACAATTAATTTTGCCTGAACATGAAAGCGCAATGATGGGAAATGCCATCATTATTATTTCGTGTGTGTGTGTGGGTGTGTGTGTGTGATCAGCGTGCTACCGTCAAGTCTTTTCCATTTGCTACCTGCTTATTGTACGCCGACATGCGAAGGAAGCTTAATTCATGCATTCAGGCTCGATTGAGGGCTTGGTGGTCTGGGAGCTGGAGGAGGATATTGGCGCAGAGGACGGATCGGGGAATGGTGGTCAGATTATGGGAGGCACCCCCGGTTCGGTGGACTTCTTGCCAGACAGCCGTCGTCTTCCGCTGCAGGCTGTCTATGGTAGAGCCTACATGCGGGATAGTTGGCCTGCCTACGTTGAGACGAAAGAGATGCGACGTATGGGTCCTGCCGATCTCCGCTGCCTGCCGCAGCGTCTCCTCGGGATGCCACTACTGCACATTGCATCCCGGCACTCTGAGGCAAGGCGATACCAGAATGCCAACAGTCAATCGACTGAATCGGCTCTCCTCGCCTGTTCGGGCTGCTGTTCAACCCTCTGGCCCGCCAGGTCTGACGCGGATCAGAAGGCTGGCTGGCAGCTGCCACACAAGTTACATGCTGATTTCTTTCAGTCCTCTGTCGAAAACTTTATTCTTAAATCTATTCACTAAAATAAAATGATTCACTGCAAAGTATCTCGGAGATGGGCAAGAGCCTATTTCGTAGCCGTACATGTTGGAGGTTAGGGTTAGGGACTGCGATTAGGTATCAGGGTTGTGGGTTGGAGTTGGGGTTAGGATAATGGGGTTAGGCTGGGGTCTGTATACTGCAGGTAAGGCAACGAAATGAGATCTGACCCGGAGATTGTTGTCGTTCATTCTGAGTGGCAGTGTGCGTGTGTGTGTGGGGAAGTGGGAGGGGGATAGGGTGGGTACTGCCGACGCAATTGCCCTGAGCAGAGGACCCGAGATAGTTCGAAAAGGGTGGAACTCCCTTGCTGTTCGCGCTATCTGCGCATGCAGAACTGTTATACTGATTGTTAGAAAAGTGCCACGCAACGGGTTGGAAGAGGCTAGGTCTCAGAGCGCAGCCCTGATTCACTCTGCTGTTCTCAGCGAATGCCTCCGATACAGCTCCATTGTCCGTGACTCGCGCCATCATGCCATCGTTCAGCTGACACACCATCTGAGTGAATCGCTCGGGACAGACGACTTTCTGCATAATTTTCCACCGTCTGTCACGATGCACCATGTCGAAGTCTTTCATCAGATCCACGAGGGTGGAGTAGAACTAGGTCGGCATCTCGTGACGCTTTTCCTGCAGTTGACGGGCGACGAAGATCATGCCGGTGATGGCGGAAACCAAACTCTGCCTTTTTTTGAAGGTTGGTCGTTCGTTCGAGCCAGTGTAACCTTCGTGGATGCAGGGTGGGTGGTTCGTGCGTTACAAGGACTCGAGTGCACAGTTTGTGAATATGCATCATCAGATAGGTCAGGAACCGTATCTGTCATGATGACACAGCCATCGCATCGTGTCTCGAAGTCGGTGATGATGATCAACTCGGATCACACGTGAACAACAAGACACCCTGAAACAATGAATTATCAGCCATCTGGAGGCATAGTCTCCTATCAAGTTCCGAAATGTGTTAGTTATGTGTCTTACTTCCTCAGTCCCAATCGCACTCCGAGCTGGTCAGGTGGGAGTGGACGCTATGACCGACAAACCTAGCCGCTTCGCCTGGACGTGCCACACACATGACCTGACCCCCCCCCCTCCCCAGACACTAGCGTCAGGATCTCACACACAAGGGGGTGGGCGACATGCATGTCATGTGTGTGTGAGAGAGTGTCAGAGGTCATGTCGAGAAGGAGGCATTCCAGCCTGACTCTCAGTCCACCAGTCGACCATTGAGCACAAACGTACCTTGGGCTAAATGCAAGGCCTGAGTTCCAACGGTAGTTGGCAGTCTTGCAAGTCATCACGGCGTTTAACGCATCGTGACAGTCTCCGGCCTGGATCACACATGCACCAGAGGGGCCACATGCAGAAGGAGCCGGGAAACACTTGCAGCTTTCGAGGAGAGATGTGCCAATCACGTGCCAGCGTGGTGTGGTGTTGAGTGTGGTCATGTTTAGAGTAGATGCTGGCGAAGAGAGATGTGGTAGTATGGTATGGACGGCGGTGCCTTCTGGGTTGGATGCAAGAAATTTCGTGCGCCTGGCGGGACACAACTGAATAATAATAATAATAATAATAATAATAATAAGACTAAGTAATAATAATGGCCTGGAGTTGGAGCATGCATTTTTGATAGTGGGCATTGTCAGCTAACCGCACAATGGAATGGTTGTACCCAGAGGTACGCACATGGAAATGAAGGAGGTGTTGATTGCTGTGGAAACAGACGATTGAGACACAGCATGTGACGGGGGCTGCAGAAGCTGAATGGAAGGCAGTGGCGAGAATGGTTTCAGCGAGTCGAGGCCCAACCCTTGGATGTGCGCCGAGGTGCGTGCGTGCGTGCGTGCGTGCGTGCACACGTGAACTTTGTCCGCCTACAATCCCGATCAGCAAATGACACAAGGCTGTCTCCACGACGTGGCCATGTCACGTGCATTGCAATTCGCAGGAGGTGTTAGTTAAGCTGACAGAAGGCGTCATGAGATAACAACCAGACTGGCGACCAGGAGAACGGAGCCCGGTGGTTAAACTTCCCGGCATGGCTGGCGTAGACGGTCCAGGTCTCCATTCCGTACAGAAGTGCTGTCAAGACGACCACTTGTACATCTCGAGTTTGCTGATCATTTGGCGACCGTGGCGATTCCACACGGAAGCTTACATCCTGGCTTTGGACAGCAGACGGGCAACCTCGTCCTCGATGTTTGTGTTGCGCGAGAGTGTGCTTCCAATATAGGCGAAGTTGTCCACGACTTGCAGTTGGGCGCCGTTCAGGTGGATTTGGGGTGCGACGTAGACAGCCGTGGGTGACGGTTGATGCATAACCACCGTTTTCTGCGTGTTGATGAACAGGCCTAAGTTGTCGCAGGCGGCGGCGGCGACGGCGATGAGATCCATGCCCCTTTATGTGGTCGCGTTGAGAGCACAATCTTCCGCGAAGAGAAGTTCATGGACGGTAGTTGTGGATACATGCGACTGGAAGTGCATTGAGGAGTTGGCCGTCCGTCCTGTAGGCGATGCGGATCCCAGGGCGTTCGTCACGGTAGGCAAAGAACGTAAGAAGCGAATTGCCGAGTCCCAGGAAGTAGTCTTGAAGAAGGAGACACGATCCCGCGATCCCGCCTCTGAGACAGTTTCATTGTTCTTTATTCGCGCCATCATGCCATCGTGGAGCAGCGTAGACTTCCTGCCACCAAGATGCTCTTCGGAATCAAGCGATGCAGACGTCTTTGCGTTGATTGGGAAATGCGGCAGATGAATGCATAATTTAAGGCCGCATTCGGGGCTTCTGTGGGCGGACAATCTACAATATCGCGAAGGTCCGTATCGATATCCATTGGCAGTGTTTCTGCAGCACAATGAAATTTCGTATCCTACCCTGTAAGTCTAGCGCAGGGCGAGACGGCGTTCCACAACGCGCAGCCACAATGCAATATCACCAGTCCGCACGGTCAAGGAAGATCAAATATATGAATGTCGGTTTTCGGCTGGCTGGAATTCGGAGTCGTTGGACTTGAT